TGCCCCGGCAACCCGCCCCGCCCCGCCCCGCCCCGCCCGCGGGAGGCCTCAGCTGCCCCGGGAAGGCCGGAGGGGGGCGGGGGGGTTGCTGGACCCAGCAGCGGGCCCCGCGTGGGAGCCGCTTCGTCCGCCGGACACGTCCAAGCCGCCGTGTTTGAGAGAGAGACTTACTTGGGGCCGTGAGGCCTCGGCCCTGCCACCTGCACGGAGCGAGCCCCTCCGCCGCCCGCAAGCTCGGGCCCTTGGGCCGCCGATCTGGTCATCTCCCCAAGCCGTGGAGAAGCGCGAAGGAACCGGTCCAGAGCAGCGTTTGTCGGGTTGCTTCTGTGCCCGCCGGCTCCCATTGTACAGACGGGAAAGCTGAGACCCAGGCAGGTGGCGCCACTTGCTGGAAGTGACACCAGGATCTTGCTCTGCTTTTGAGGGGGGTCCCACAGGCCCTGCAGGGTGTTCAGGGAGCTCCGCACAGGCTGATTTGCCCTGGACCCCAAAACCTGCTAGGGTCAGCTTTGGGTACAGGTACCACCAGTGGTATGCAGGCAACCTGTCAGTGGTACGAGTTAACAGATTTATTATAATTACTGTATATGACAAAAATTTGCAGGTGGTACTTAAGGTTATATCATTTTAAATTGGTGGTGTGCGTCAGAGTTTGGGAACCGCTGCACTAGACAGTGCCTTGATAACTAACTTGGTGCCCCCACTACATTTTCAGTAAAACCTTTCAAACATCACTCAGATCATGGCAAACAGGCAATAAATGTTGGCAAACAAGAATTCAAAATGAATGCCCTGCTGTATCTTTTCTGCTCTACAATACAAGCAATTCCAGCAGGAAGAGCTGAGTATCTGAAGTACATGGTTTCCACCAAGAAGACAGTTGTAGCTCATCAAAAAGGCTCCAAAACATTTACGTTCTCTTAAGAAAAAAGAAAACCTCTTAAAGGATTTTATTAATAAGTACATCATTCATTTTCCAAACCCAGCCTCAAATATTGAAAAAATGCAGCACTCTCATTTATTGTTTTTTCATTTAAATGTTCTGTCAGGAAAAAAAAAAAGATTCAGTAGCTAAGATACATAACTATTTTGCCAAAGGCCAAGATGCAGTGATCTTCCCTTATACAGCTTTAAATCATTTACCAAACTTTCCTTGCTAGAGATCTAAATCTATAAAACAGAAGTAGATAAATACAAAAACAAACTCTTCCATATACTTCCCCCATCACCCAGACTGCATCCCAAAATTGCTGCCTCTTTCTGTATACAGTATTTCTAGGACCTGACCTTTTCTAACACACAGCAAGCAAGGGACTGTTTACAGGCTATTCAGGCCTGAGGCCTAGATGTCTGGAAAGAAACAGCAGTTGTCCTACTTTTCCAGGTGTGGATTTATTTTCCCAATGGCATTTAAATTCAACTGTGAGCAGCTAAAGGCATTTCTTTGCATTCTGCTTGTTTGGCTCTAGATGACTGTGCCTCGTTTCTGGTTTTTCATTTTCTTTGATTGTTGTATTCCCAATTTTCACTTGCTCTAATATACTTGGTTCTACACTGGCACAAATATAAATTAAAATGTCCTTGCGAGTAGCAGACCTATGAGTCAAATCTAAGACTAAACTAGAAACTGACCTACAAGCTTTGCCGCTTCCTAAACGGTTCTGAAAAGTGGGAGACTTGTTCATTTCATTCGGGTGCTGTTTGCAAAGCTGTAACAGCAGGCTACACATTTGAGCTGTCAGTCTGCAGGGTTCTTTAAGATGAACCAGCACCGAGTATGCTTGGTTTGCTGATGGAAGAGTACATTTACATCCAGAAAGTTTTCCCCCCCTTATTCTTTATTTTTGTTTCTTTAAAGAAAGGTTGAATGCTGCCAAAATCGACGGCTTAAACTCCCATATTTTCAAGAAAAAAAAGCTTACTATTCTGCATTAGTAAGTGGATGAGAGGGTTTTCTAAAACTTGGTCTACCCCATATAAAATATGGAACAGAAGTAACGGAAATATTTTTCCCTACCTATTTAATTACACAGAGCTTAAAAACAGACTCACTCATCCAAAGAGAAATATTCTTTACCTTGCAATATATTAGCCAACAGCATGGATTGTCAGAATTTGGTAAACCATGATAATGCAGTCAGAATTTATTTCTTGATATGCGTATATGAAACATGTCCCATACTAAAAATGTCTATGAAATAGCTCATTTCCATGATTTTCTTAATACAAATTGCAACATCTCATTTACCAGAAGACTTTTATTCTGGGGATTTGACAGAAATGCCTGATCAACCAGCGTCATGCAAAAAAATTGGATTTTTAGAGCAGCCTTAATGTCTAAAAATTTGATTTTACATAAATACAATGATCCCTGTCCTTGAGAAATTGAAGCTTGATTGGTCTTAGTGATTTGTTTGCATTAGAACAAATCTCATATTTCATAAATCTGAACAGTGAAGCAAGGAAATATTCCAGAGTTCAACATCTAGCTCTGGCAATGTTTTCTCTAGTAACTGAGGGAGTATGTTATGTGCATTTCAAATAGCACTTAAACATCTATTATTACTTGTTATTTTAGATTTTTTAATTAACATTGCTAATGTACCATTGACCAAAGGATTTATTTTGACTTCAACAGGAAGTTTACCCATCCAGTGCTCTGAATATGTATTTTGTGGTACAATGTATACATCTGCATCATGAACTTCTACTTTCCCAGGTATTTATATAGAAGAGGGATTCCCCTTAGCTGTACTCCATCCATTCTCTTCCCAAAAGGCTGGCTCTAGGGATGACTATTAGGACATATTACAGTTGCTAGTAAGTTGGAACCTGCTAAATAAAAGGAGAAATGAGATTTGGGGCTCCTTAATAAGAAAGCTCCCTGCCAGATCTCCCTACATTCAAATCATATCAGCTCAAGCCTCTTAGCTATTGCAAGAGGAGAGATGTGTTCTTCCAGGGAGCCAAGCCTCATAGCACTGTATTTATAAACAAATGGGAAGCAATGAAAAAATGTGCTGCACTACATGCTTCACTGAGCAAATGGGCAACTAGCCACCTGAACCAGCTGCAATTTCTGGATGGCCTTCATGCATAACCCCAAACATATTGCAGTAATCTAGACTAAATATCCAAGTACTGTAGCAATATAGTTGCCATCATGCAACATTAAAAGGCCTCTTTATTCTGTTTCACATCTGCAATCCCATCACTGAAGAGATTGTCCAAGAAATGGGATATGACGATACTAAGTCTTTGCTGAAGGAGATGGTTGGGGCCCAAACAAGCAGGTGGGTGCTTAGCTTGAGCTGTTTGTATTTCTGTACACAGTACCTACAGATAATGATAGGCACACTGTACATATTGTAAAAGCAAATTGTAAATACATAACTTACTGAGTGCCATCAGTTTACACAACCTGTACAAGCATATTCACAAGACAAGAGGCTTCCAACCTAATTCAAAGAGAATACAGTTGACACTCGCAGTAGAGCAGTAAGCAGTTTGGATATTAAGGTGGGGCTTGAGAGCAGCTCCCTTTGGACAGAAGGGACAGCATGGAAAAAGGTATGAAGCCAGAAGTGGAATACAAAACATAAATCAGGAGATATATATATGCAAACCAGGATGGCGTAGGAGTCAAGGCGGGAATCAGCAGGAAATGAAAGGAGGGAGGCATGGCTCAAGTTGTTCAGGACCCTGCCAGTGAGAAGCTCAAACTTGAAAGCAAAGCCAGAAAAGTGGGTTAGAAAGCAGGTGCAGCAGCCTGGGGGTTGGACCTAGTGAATACTTTCCCTAAGGTTTTTGCTCAGCACAGGACTTTTTCTGTTAGGAGTTTTGTCTTCATTCCCAACTGCTTTGGATATCAGAATCAGCACAGCCAGATTAGCACTGTACTCTGGCTGGGCTAATTAGTCCCATGGAAGTAGAGTACGCTGGCCTAGGGAAAGCACCACACTGATTTGGCTCTACTGCTCCCAGTAACTGAGCTAGCTCTGCTCTCTCTGCATGGCACTGCGTTGTGCTGCCTAGACATGTCTTTTTGTTATATATTTACTGACAAAAAAGGTGTGTTGTAGCTGTGAGATAAATATAACATGCATTAACTGTTTCACAGTAGAAACATAGGAGAGGCAAGGCACTTTACTGTGAGGTGAACCAGGCAAGGTCAACCATTGGCAGGGGGTATGATGCTGATCTTACCTAGCTATCCCAAGGCAAACACTGCTGGTGCCTTGGCTCTACTTAGAAGTGTACAGCAAGATACCTGGGGCAAGTCTGCTTTCTCTGTTAAAAAACAAGTGCACCTTTATGTCAGTGAGGACAAGGCCTTTATTATACAGCTGCTAGTGCTGCATCCAGTCTCTCTTTCTGAACACCTTTTCGTGCCTCTTTTTTTCCTTTAGCACCACTTGCACTGCCTGGGTCTCCTGCTGATCTTTCTTTTGCTTCTCCTATCACTTGCACATGTTACTGGCTGACCTGAGATGTAACCAGGGTACTATGGCCATTTAAAGACTTCATATATGGTATTTTCAAGTAGCCCAGCTTGCTTCATGTGCAGTCAAAGCTGTTGACTACAGCAGCAGTTTTCCCTGCATTAGGAGACACTGCAGCTTTAAACTGTCTCTGGTAGAAATTATTAAAAGATTTTCTTTCTCTAGCTTGCATACTCTACTTGCTCTGAAGTTTGTCGCTCAATACTCTACCTGCCTTAAAAGTTGCAGGAAAGTTGCCTCTGAAAGGGCTGACAATGAATAACAATTGAACTGCCTAATGCTCAAGCCCCTTGCCCACCTCTGAGCATTGCGCAGGTTAGTCTATTTATATGGAAATGCCACTTTTTCCACAGACTGCTATGTATATATTACTCATAATCAAACAAAAAAAAA